TTTAATTATCTGATACATCATTAAAATACATGATTTTGTAAGAAAAAATGCTGCCCATTGTTTTTTATTGTGTCACATTTACCTATATTTTATAAAACCCCACCCCCACATCCATCCCCCAGAGCAAAATAAACATACTCGCTACTTAAATAAATGGCTCATAAATACAAATTGCCCCCAAAATAATGGCTTGAAATTGAAAATAGTCAGTCAAAAAATGTAACAAATACATGCAATATCTCCAAGGTAAGGAAAATCCTCTCACACGATGATTTGGAGAGAATCATCCATGCTTTCATTTCTTCAAGACTGGATTACTGTAACAGCCTGTTTACCTGTCTGAGCAAGAAGGAGCTGGGTCGCCTACAAATTGTCCAGAACTCTGCTGCAAGACTCCTGACCCGTAAAAATAGGACAGCCCATGTTAATCCTCTCCTGCAGTCCCTACATTGGCTTCCTGTTGCTTCCAGGATAAATTTTAAAATCCTGGTTCTTACCTTCAGGGCCCTCCATGGACAGGCGCCTGGCTACATGACAGGTCTGATCCAGCCGTATACGTCGGTCCGTAGCCTAAGGTCTTCAGGTCAAAACCTGCTTATGGTTCCTCGGACTCGTTTTAAAACCCGAGGAGACCGGTCCTTTAAAGCGGCGGCACCCCATCTCTGAAATGAACTCCCCCTGTCCCTCCGCTCTCTGGACACGGTGGATATCTTTAAAAAGCAGCTAAAAACACACCTGTTTTCACTAGCCTTCCAAAGCACATAGCTTATTGTTTTACTCACTTATTTATTTTAGCTTTTATTGCATTTTATCTGTTTTTACTTGTGTTGTTTTTATGTTTTCATGTGAAGCACTTTGTGACTTCGTCTGTGAAAAGTGCTATACAAATAAAGTTTACTTACTTACTTACTTACTATACACATACAGAAATTTTACACAAATGAGTAATTAAGCCAGTCATCAGTGCCAAGACCGTGACACACGAATGGGATTTTTGCTACTGCGTTGGTTAATTTCCTTGATGAAAGTAGTGATATCTTTGAAAAAGGTCCACTGAACTTGAATTCTCGTGTCTGGTAAGTGAACAGTTTGTACTTTGATAGTTATAACTATTCCTACCAATATTTTTCATTCTTTTTTCGCTTAAGTGATCTACTATATTCAAGTCAAAAATTACTTATATATATTACTCAAATACCATTGTAAAACATTTCCATATTCATACCAGGTATAAAAAGGTACGTTGATAAATACATTTTTAATTTAATTAATTTGCAAATAAATCTGAAATACTATATCTAAGATAAATGGGAATTGTCTACCTAAACCTCTGCAAACTTTTGCTGCTTTAAAACTATTAAAGGACAGTTGCATATTTGTGTGGTTTAATTTAGTCCAAGTGAACTATTGTCACAGTTTCAAATAATCCAACTATAAGATGGATAAACTTTAATCTTGACAGGAATTATTCATACCAGTATGTGTGTATTTATGTAATGAGAAAAGTTTTTGCCTAATGTGATGGAGATTCCATATTAAGATGTGCATATTCATAATGCATCTCCTACTGGTAAGGATGATAAAAAAAAGATTTACTGACTCTGAAATATTAAAATTGTGGAAGTTCTTTCAGAGGAATCCAGCATTCTTTGTTTCACTTCTGTTTAATGTTAAACCCCTTATATCCACCCAGCAAGACATGAGGTAAAGGTTTACTCATCATTAGGATCATGATGAGGGGCAGAGAGTTGAGAGATTTTCATCTGAGCCCTAGTCTGTCAGCTTCTATGTGGATTTGCATTGTGAGGTTAAAATATCTGGTCCTTTAATTTAGTCAAATAGAAAGTACTTAATCTTAAGTAGTTAACCACATTAAAAGTCTCTTTGATCTCATTGAGTCTCATTGCTTAGTAAAGATCTTAGTAAAGATTGCTATAAAGACTCAAATGTTCAAAGGAGACCAACCAAACATAGTAAAATGTTCTTAAGCGAAATTTAAATCTAGAAGACTCTTATCAGCTTCACCTGAACCACCTTCGATGTCCCTCGTTCATTTTCAGCCAATAAACGTTGAGACCACACCTCTTCTGAAGCCAATAATCTTTTGAGATGCCCATGATTTTGCTCCTGCCCTGGCTTCTCTCCCACATGCAAGCAAACTTTCACCAACCTCCACCCCATCTCCTCCCTCCCTCACTTTATTCTCAGTCCCACTCCCCCTCTGGCTTATTACACTACCAGTTTTAGAACCCTGGGGAAAAACTACTTTAATGATTTTCCTAGGTGACTCATTCAAGCATATGTCAATTCTCAGCATCAAAGTTGACTTATGATCTCTCTGACTGTGTGATATGGTTGGGTGGTCTGATTGGAGTGCCTTAGGGGGGCACATGTTTTTGATTCGTGCTGTATAAATAAACTGAAATGAATTGAATAAAACATTCCTAATTGCAGGATTCCCTATGTGAGTCTGTCCAGGTTGAATTGTTGGTATTGTTTTTGCTATGTTTTTTAGTAATTCCTTTGCTTAAGATTTTAGAACCAGAAACCAGAAGCCCTTCCTCCTCCTGAGTGTCAGTTAGTAGTACCCTGGAGACATTTTACACTGGTGGGGAACAATTCAAACCCCATTGTGTGATGCGCTAATTTCTGAGCTGTTTATACGGTGATGATGCGCTGATTGCAATACTGTTTATGTGCTAATGGAGATGCTGTTGAATTACTGATAAAGTGCTAAATATAAGTCCCTGCAAAAGGCTTAAAGAGTGTGTGGAAAAGCCTAGCCTGCAAAGGTGTAGAGAGGGTGCCGACTGCACATACCTTGCAAAAGGCGCAGGGATGGTGTGGACCGGCCGTTCCTAGAGAGAGAGGTGCTGACCAGCCAAGCTTGAAAAGATGTGTAAAGTTGAGAGACATAGACATAGAGAGGATGCCGATTGGCCATGCCCTGCAAAAGTCAAAGAAATGGTGCCGACCGGCTGTTAGAGTGTATGGTCTGATCATGCCTGCAAAGGGGGTAGCGATTGTGTGGACTGAGGGCCTGCTAAGGCATGAAGAAATAAGCAGGAGATAAGTAAGCTATCTTAAGTACAGGAAGTGAGGAGATGGGGAAGACTTACCACCACCAATCAGTTCCTGAATGTGCTTACTTCAAGGTTAAGAGAGCGTTGAGCCACTTAATAAAGAGAAGAGATCAGCACTGGCAAGTTTTAGAGGTGATGTTGTAAAAATAACTTGGGTGCAGCTGACGTTCTGCCCCTATTCTAAATGAATGACCCTGAAGAATGTCTATGGGGAAGATTGCAAGGGTTATGATTAAACTGAGTGTTTAAGGAGACTTGAACAGGACAGTGAGGGGGCATAGGGCCATTTATATAGGACACTGAGATGATGCATGCACTTTTTCCCTGAAATGTTAGGGATGGATACCCTTGACAGAATCAGAATCAGAAATATAATTATAATAATCCCAGAGAGAAATTACTTAAAAATTGTTGACAAGCAGATCAAAAATAATAATACTTTAACTATTAATCTCACATTGGAGAAATTCACCTCCGCATTTGACCCATCCCCTTGGTGAGCAGTGGGCTGCCATCATGGGATGCCCGGAATAGCAGTGTGGAGTGAAGGGTTTTGCTCAGGGACCCAGAGCGGCAGTCCATGGGAGTTGGGCTTGCACTTCTGGATTCCAAGCGCAATGCCCTAACAACCAGGCTGCACTCCCCCTCTACTGAATGATTTAATGTAATGTTGAATCTCTGAGAGATGGAAGGGGGGCAGGAAATTGTAACTGCTTCCAAAGGAAATACACCCCAGAGCCTGGGGATAAGGTTCATCTGCATGAACAGAATGGGTTCAGGGAGTGAACAACCTCATTGTAAAAGTTTCATCCCATTTGAAAACTAGCAGGCCTAAATGACTATTAAGAATGGTAGCCCTCATCTAAAGTAACTAGACTGCTCAGACAGGGAACAGAGCTCATCAGTTCACATATACTGCCCAGTGTGAGTACTGAGCTAACAATGCCCTGCATGATAGGCCGCATGCAAAGATCCTCACCTGCCATGGTGTGTTGCCGTGTGACTTAGACTTAGACAAACTTTATTGTATACAAAATGAGTGTATACAAAACGAGTGTATAAAAACAAAATTTCGATACATACAGCGTTTCAACAGTGAATGAGCAGCTTAGCAGTTAACTACATATTCATTTCCATGTATAAAGTGCAGCAGTGATCAAAATGGAGAATGCCAAAGATAGCCAATTGCCAAAGATGTAATGGCAATTATACATTGCAGTATTAGTTGCGATGACGCCCAGTGATAATCTGCCATGCAATGGTAACGATTGAGATGATAGTTAAAAGTGGAGATTATATATAATGAGCACTCCATCATTGAAGAACAGATAACAAATGCTCAGGTCATGAGATATTTTGCTGAGGCAGTCTGTTCTTGCCTCTGGTATTAAAGTCATATATACAGTATAAAAGTCTAAAACTATGGCTAAAACTAAAGAAGACTAAACTGAAACTGAAGCATTTCAAAAAGAATAAACTAACCAGAAAATAATCATATATTTAAAACTATACATTAAACTGAAAATCTGAGATCAAAACTAAATGCAAATAATGGAGATGTGGAAATCATTTAACCTTAAAATTGCCTAATATGATGCCTAATTGTCACTTAAGAGAAAACACTGAAATGACGGTAGAATCAAAGTTTCAACATGAAACCAATCATGACTCATGGCGTAGATTAAACAGTGAATTAATAAACTTGGATGCGAATAAATGAACTTTGAGAGTGGCACATGATCAATGTGAGTATTCCAGGTTCATGAGCTAAACCTCTGATCTTCTCCACTGCTACAAACTATCAAGACCTATAGGATCACCAGAGTCATGCTTGCTTACCATTCAGAGACTCAGAAGACAAAACATGGTGAAGCAGCCTTCAGTCTGTATGCTCCAAAAATTAAGCTTCCTTTACACTGTGGAACTGCTGCCACCATGAGATCCTTCTATACATATAGGTTAAACAAACTTTTAATTTTTATTTTATATTGCTTTTGAAAATATTTTAATTTAAAATGCTTATTTGTTATTTGCCTTTATGCTTCATCTTCAAAAATTCGGTAAGAACTTCTGTGTATTTTGTATGCTTTGTATAAACATTTTTACTTTTTGGCAGAAAAGTGCTATATAAATAAAGCCTTGCCTTTGTCCTTAGAGAAAATTAGCTCTTGTAATCTTCAGCTGCTTATTGTGCAGAAACATAAACATTTGGGGTAGAATTTGAATCAGACTACAATAATTTTTAATATTACCAAAGAACCTGTTGGTGGCACTATTAGAAAAGATATTTGTGCGTAAAATTTTCCTTACGCCATTGATGTAAAACTTCTTGATCAAAGAATTGAAGTCAGGACAAAAGAAAACATGACTATTAGCCTAAAGTCAATTGATAATTGTAAGATAAAAATAAAAGACATCTTACAAAACAGGGTCTTAAGGTGGGAGGAGGCAATCTTTTTTTTCTGAAAAATGAAAAACCAGTTAGATGCACTTTAGAGCTGGATTGCCACACCTACTCCTGTTAGTAAAGCATCAAGGGTCTTTATGAAGTCAGTGTCATCATGACTCTGTTATGGATCACAGTCTTTATGCTTCATCAAGGATGTAAGTACATTTTGTTTTAAAGTGTGAAACCATTTTCAGTTTGGCATTAACATTTTATGTTGATTATTGATTTTGTCTTTAACCCAGATGCCTTAGTTCCTGTGGTCACTGTTCAGATTGGTGAACCTGTAACTTTTACCTGTGCAAATATGGAGAAATTCACAACAACATCATGGCTTCACTGGTACAAGCAAACTTCTGGAGATACTCTAAAAATGATTGTGATGCAGAGAAAAAACCAAGATCCCACTTATAGACCACAATTTCCTTCTTCAAGATTCAATATAACATGCGATGATAAAATAAGCAACCTCACAATTCTGAGGACAGTTGAACAAGACGAGGGAATATATCACTGTGCTCTTACAGACTGGACAGGCTCTACTTGGATGGGGACGTATTTGATGGTAAAAGGTAATTGTGAGACCTCAATATGTAATCTTTTGAAATATTTGTTACTACAAACGACAGAAAAATACATAGCAGATGTTAAACGATAAATGCATATTACACATATTGCAGGGTCCTAATTATATTGAAAACAATTCTAAAAAATATGTAACATTTATCTAAGTCAGTCAACAAGAAATAAGATTAAAAGTGTCTTACCATTTTAAACTGATCTTTGGTAATAGATTATTAGTGCCTCTGACTTTTTTTTTTTACTCTTCCATTCCTGTTGAAAAGAAAGCTTAATATCAAATACAAATCTGAATAAATGCAAATAGGGAATTTGTATTTGTGAAAAGAAAAAAAAAACTATTATCACTGCTTCAGTCTCAGAGTTGTTAACAAAAAACACTCAGACATCCATTGACACTTTGGAAAGAGGCAGCCAAGTGGTTATATTTGTTTATAGCGGGATTTCTACATTCTGTAGAGTAATCTATGGTTCAAAACTTAAACCTTCACGCTGGGTCCTGAACTCCTTAATGCTCTTCAGGCGCTACTGTGACAGCCCCCTGCTCTATTGGGGACAGGCAAGGCACAGAGGACAGTTTCACAAATATTTCCTTACCTTGTGAAATTACTTTTAACATATCAGACAACTTAGTTTTAAAATATAACCTTATAATAATTATTTCAGGAAACTCAAAGAAGACATCCAGCTACACTGTTGTTCACCAGTCAACAGCCTCAGAGTCGTCACGTCCAGAAGACTCAGAGACTCTGCAGTGTTCAGTCCTCTCTGAGTCAGAGAACAATTCATGTTCAGAAGATTTCAGCATGTTCTGGTTCAAAGCTGGATCCAACAGACCCTATCCAAATATCATCTACACTGATGGTAAAAGAGCTGATAACTGTGAGAAAAGTCCAAACACCCAAAAAAAATGTATCTATAACTTCCCCAAGAACATCAGCTCCTCTGATCCTGGGACTTACTACTGTGCTGTGGCTACATGTGGAGAAATCTTATTAGGAAATGCAATCAGAAAGGAAGGAGGTAATATATACAGTACACACGTTGAGAAATATGCACAATAATAAATAAGCTAGGGAATGAACATATTTCTTTTTATCGCTTTTTCAGGTGAAACACCATGTTATGGAAATATGATTCTGCTGATCACAATAATCTTTTTGACCATTTCTTTGATTGTACATATCTTTTTGATTTGTTACCGAACTCAATCCTTTGGATGTAAAATATTCAAAGGTAAGTGTTATTAACTGAGCAATATTACTTATGTATTCTACTTAAAGTTGTAAAATGTGTGCATTAACATCAGCCATCTGACATAGATCATTACAAATAAATTGTTATTAATAATACATATTTCTGTTTGTTCCAACTGTGCAGAAAGCCCCTCAGAAGCAGAAAGCAACAACTTTAACCAACAAAGTGATGACATTGTACGTAGTGATAAAAAAAAAAAAAAAAAATCACAAATATTTTTTTTATAAAGGGGTTTGATTTATTATTCAGTAAATAAAACACTTAACGCTTAAATATCTGTCTCTGAACAGCGTGATGAAGGCCAGGATCTGGTCTACTCTGCATTACATTTTTCTGGAGGGACGAAACCAAAAGGAATTAAGAAGAGAGAACTGAAGACTGAAGAAATGGTGTATTCCGAAGTCAGACCATCAGGTTGAATGAATGTCGCAATTAAATTTCTATTTTCTGAAAATAATAAACGTAGTCTTCCTTTTTTTTTTTCTTTTTTTCTTTTTTTTTCTTTAGAAAAATTATGTAATAAATGTGACAGGCTGTGGCAAATCCAGAATCACATCTAACCAGGGACTTTTTGAGCTATTTACAGGTTCTGAAATAGTGGAGTAAAAACTTTTTAAATATATCAAACTTGTGAAAATAAAAGAATAATGTAAGAATTAAATTGAAAACAAGCTTTGAAGATTCTTTGAAATCACACTGGATGGGTTGTAACAAAAACGGTTAATTTGATTACATTTCCATACATTACCCTCCGGAGCTTATAAAAAGGGGCTTCATGTCCATAAACTGCACTTTTTTTCATTACAGAGGCAATTTGCAGCACCACATTACACATTTGTGTGGTGCAGGCAAATACTTGCATGACCCCCTTAGCAGCCTTCGGGTTTCTGCCTGCTGCAGAAACCCGTTAATCATTCAGTTAAAAGTCAGGTGTGTATCAGTGAGAATAATTCTAAAATATGCAGGGAAGTGGTATTTGATGCCCAGGATTGAGAACCACTGCCCTAATCTGCTCTTTAGTCTCTTCTCCAAATTTGAGGGGTCATGAGCTTCTTGCTCCTTTGTAATCCACCTGTAACAGCCTTGAAACTGCAACCTTTCTTATCGGTCATGGAGTCATTGCTAAACACTATCCTTATCCGGGGTGGGAGCAGTTGCAAAAAAAGAAAAAAGAAAAAGAGAACAGACAGTGATTGCCCATGCAACAAAGAATAAGGAATCTTTGTCACTCAGGTTCAAACGTATATAATGCTCAGACATGTGTGTTTGTTAGTTATTGCATAGAAGTTCATTTTGTGCCTGAGCAATCTGTGAAAAGGGCATAGATTGTTTCAAGAAACAAAACATAATTCAGGGCTGGGCAATGTCTAAAAATAAAATCTCAAATTTGATCATATCGATTATCGATTTTCTGTCTAACTTCCATTTCATGAAAGGAAATTGGAAAAAAACATTCATTTTCATATATTGCTTTTATTTCAAGTATTTCATCTGGGAGTTCAATCTGAATTCAAAGTTCACCAAAATACAACCTGTGAAATATGCTTGTAAAACAAGATGGCAGGCACTGGCATTGTAAACTATGAAAATATAGAAACTGTTTGCTGCCAGTGGTATTATACAATGAGTTACATACAGAATTCACTTAACTTGTGTAACCACAAACTAACTTTAAAGAAAGTAAATAAATAATTGCACAAAAAATGTAATAACCTTTGTTTAAATAAAATCCTATGGAGTGGTGGGATGACCAAATTACAAAAATGTAATTTAACTTAAAATAGCTTAACTTATTTATTACATAGTACTACAACACATGCTAACGCATGAAAGTAAATAAAGCCAAGCTGTTCTTTGGCTTAAAGCTACAGCACAGAGCAGAGACACAACCAGAGCACTAAAGTGTCAACGCAATTTGACCAGCTTCTGACCCAGCGTCCAAAGTCCAAAGTGTTTGTGATGCTCAAACCCTTTTGATGTGAACACAGCATAATCATTTCAGGAATGCCATATATCATCCATATGTATGTTATTTATTATCATATTTGAACTGAAAGTCTCAAGCATGTTTGTGTTGTATTGCTCTTTATAATTACATAGTAGTGGGCCTTTATGTATGGAGGCAGACATCTTTGAGTTACTGCAGTACAGAGCTGACAAACTAGTGGCTGTAGAGATCGCCATTGCATCTGCAGCAAGGTAGGCCTATATAAAATCTATATCCTACACAGATTCATAAAATACAATTTATAAAATGATCTATGTAAACTAGACTCGCACCACTCAGTCGGCAATGCTTGGATCTATATCCTGGACTTGGTCCTTGTTTGTTTTGGTCAAAGGTCAAACACTATAACCAGAGACCAAAACAGGGGGATGAATCACCTGGAGAACAGAGGTAAAGGAGCAATGTTCTGAAGCTCAGAGCAGAAGCAGAACAACAGTGCAAGAACACCGATTCAGAGAGCTCCATAACCGGGATGAAGTGGCCAGCCATGCCCCCCCTCTGGAGCTCTGAACAGAACAGTGCTCTAGCTCAGGAGGAAAGTGGAGGAGCACAGAGGTGGATTGGAGTATCCTGCCTAGCAAACTGAAGCACTGAAGGTGGGGGAGAGGCTATGACTGGACCAAGCTAGCTACAGTATGTAGGCTGACTTAGGAGGATCAAAGCAGGATAGTCATAGATTGGATATGTTCACAGGAAAAACAGAGAGCTGATTTAAAAAAAAAAGTTTGTCTCTGCTGCCTCCTTCGTTAAAACAGTGCTCAATCCATAATACCTTTTCTTCTACTAATTTTTATACTTATTGTTCCAATGTTAATGCAAACACTAAAGAAGTTATGGGTTTAATACTTAAATTGGTGATTAGCAGATACTGGTTGTGATGATTTTTCATGGGGGGTGGCATTACATGTTGCTGAAAATCACACAATATAGCTTTAATTGTTATTCAACTAATGCCACCTGATGTTCAGCAACTGAGCAATCAGAGATCCCAATTTGTCTGTAAGTTGAATCTCACTGCCTTGCAGGAGCAACTGTGTCTCCTACAAAGTCAAGTTTCAAAGATTTCGCATTTGGAATGCATAGTGGAAATGGAAGTTTTGTTAAAAAAAGACAGCTTATAAAATGCTAAATGTTGTTAGCGGGGAACATACAGTTCAGACATACTTTCCCTGAGGTATTATTAGGGGGAGCACAGTTAAATGTACTCTCCCAAACAAAGATGGATTCTTAAAAATGCAAAAGATGGATAGACCTGCCTTGACCAGCTGAAAATTACATTAATCAACCTAAAAAGGCAGAAACACAAACTTTACCACCAAATCTCTGAATTGCCATCTGCAGCAGGGCTGCACAGTGTGAGCCTTTTACTCACAGTGGCACCTGTGAGTAAATTCCCAAAGATTGGGAAAAAAAATAGGAGCACGCATTCGAGAACAGATTTCAGCCCTTTCATTCACATTTTGCTCTTGAAATAGGTCACAATTTATTTAAAAAAGAAATCAGCTGATCTTTTTTTAAAGTACAAAAGAGAAGGAATTTCCAAAAAATGGGGAAAATACTAGTCAATAGTGAGACGTCAGTAGACATGTACTTCCTTATTTTGTATATAAAAATTGAAAAACCGCTGTGATAACGTGAATCCCACACCATAAAGACTTAAATCATTGCAGAGGCAGGTAAACATGCTGCAGCAGACAGCAAGCTTTAGAAGAAAAAGAGCTCCCCTCCCGACGCTACAGGTTACGGTACTTAGAGAACTACAATGAGATAGATTGATACCCTGACTTTGACAGTTGGGAACTGGCATATCTATAATGCAATTATTTTGGCATCAGAAATGTAATACAGTTTATGTTTTGCTATGATCTAGCATTTTGTCAACTGCATTGAATAAAAGTTGGCTGCCAAACACTCCTCATCTATCTCCGTTTTGTTAGAAGATTATATAACCTGTGAGTAGCTGACATGAGCTCATTCTTGATAAGTTTATTTAGTCTCAAACTTTTTATCTTTGGTGTCAAGCGGATGACATAATTCATATAACATGCATGCTGTTTATGTCACAGGTTAGTTGTTTAATGTTTGTCTGTCTCCATCTCTTTGCAGCTGATTTGCTTGCCAGTAATCAGTCTTACAGTACTTGTCTTCCAGTTAGTTGTTCTGATATCGATGCCAGAATTTGATATGTCTCTGATACTGCTGAAAGTTCTGGTATAAATACTGGATTTCAAGCAATGATCTGATCCCTGAGCCAGAACTTAACACTATGACAATCATTTTATAGTCATACAGGTGAAATATTGTTGCTTTTTACAACTTAGTGGTATTTGTACTTTGTTTTGGTGATTCCCACAGCACAAGTATCTATATTGGGAGGAAATTTTTGGTATCTGAACATCTCTTTAATTATTAATTTCTTTTTTTGGTGTTTAATTCACTTACAGGGAAACAGAGTCTACAGCGGTGCCCTGGGTATACATTGCAACAACAAATTTATGTAAAACTGAAAGTTGTTGTCTTTTGTTTACAGGTGCCTCTTGATGAAAAACCCTGATGCTGGATTGAAGTGCAGGAAAATGTCAATCAGCCCAAATAAACTGATAGACTGTGAATGATGGTTTAAATGTGAAAAGTTGACGATTGTGTTCATTTGCAGTTCTGTGTGTATGTATTCTTTATGTTCTACTTTTTATAATAAAAGATTAAATTACATTGGTCCTGGTGTTCTTTGTTCATGGAGAAAATAAAAAAAAAGATTTAGTTAAAATCCAATTGAAATCCAACTAACAATATTTTACTGTAAATTTACAGTAAGTTACTGGTTACTGAGTAGATATATCACAATAATTCCACGGGCATTGTCATTGTAGTTACGACATATAGTTTTCATTTTAGTAAAAATTGCTGTAAAATATTCACAATACATTGCTGTGAGATATTTACAGATAAATATTGAGATATATTCCCAGTAGAATATTGTAAAACATTTACAAACAAATATTGTGATTTATTCCCAGTAGAATACTGTGAATTTACTTTGAAAGTAATACAGTTAATAGCCAGCAAATTACCGTAAATTAACAATGAAACATTTTACTGATTTTATTGTGAAGGGCACTTTTTAAGGAACTTTTCCAAAGTTTGATTTGTGAATTGTTCAAGGCTTTGAAGGCATGTTCAAGATCCATTTTTGTGCATTCACAAGTGCAAAACATTGGGCAGAAATTCTCGGTTTTAATTAGACGTTTTTATTTTCTAAAGTCTAATCTGATTAAAGGAAATTTTTTCCACTTTGTTACTCTGAACCAAAGCTTTTTTACATGTTCTGAATTTGAACACATTTTTTTTCCTTTACAGAATAAAATTTTATGTTTTGCAGAAAAAAGTGAGTGAGGCAGGAAATACAGAGATTTGTTGGTATGATGTAAAATTACCCCACTTCCTTCTGTCTTGTCAGTATCACAGCGTGTAAATTGTTGTGTCAAGATGCTTCTGTTTGGGGTCATGCTACATGTTCTTCTTCAGCAAGGAAGTAAGTGTAATTTTCTACAATAAAAAACTATAATTTACCATTTTGAATCTTAAATAAAAAACTCTCATTTAAGCTTTTTTATTGTTGCATGGTGCTAAATGTATGCAAATTTCCTGCAGTTTATAATTTTTCAGAATATGAGCAGCTCTTGTTCAAAGGTACTCGTAAAATTTGGTACTTTATCAGGGGGAGTTGTTAGTATTATTCTTTGCTGTTCATGTACACTTGGTAAAACCTAATATATTACATACGGTACCTGTTGAACAGAGTCTATATATTACAAGATTTTCCAACCCATACAGTAGATTGATTCACAGTGGAGAAATTTACTATAGTTAATGCTTTTTTTTTTTTTTTACCCCCAAGCCGATTATCTATATAGCACAGTTCCTTTGTTAGGAAAAAAGAGGAAGAAAAAAAAATACATCTCTAGGTAACCCTGAGAGTTAGGATTCTTGATGGTTAAGCAATACGGCATCGATCCCCATGCCAATGACTTGAGCCTGCAGCTGTGTGATTCACTGCAAATGTTCTGTTCTGAACCAATCTGATCTGGAATAAATTCTATTAAACTTTTTATTCTTGTTTTAGATTTTTTTATTATTAAGATGAATAGTGGTTAAACTTAGTAAATTACTCCCAGGAAAGAAACTGCAAGGGAATCTCCAAGGCACATCACAATGTGTAGCACTAACAGTAATATAATTACGTTTTCTAAATAAACATGTTCCAATTCCAGTTATGGTAAGATTATATGAGATTCTGTTTTTTTTTCTGCTAATTATAGAGAATTCTGGGCCTCAGCCTAAAAAAATAAAAAGCTTTGGATATTAATATATTTTTGCATTAAACATTATCATCTGTGTGGCAGCAGGAAGTGATATGAATGCACTTCTCAGAAATCACATGCCCTTAAAAGTGGTTCACGAAACATCTCTATGACCTAAATGTTAAATGTCTCTGTGACGACAGTTTGAGTATGACTCTTTTATGGGCTGCACTGTTTTCTTTTCTTAATGAAGGATGTAAGTGTTACATGAACCAAGATTTTATATGTTGCGTGATATAAGATTTTTCATATATTTCTTTTAATATGATTTTGTTTGATTACTTTTTTTTTGTTTAACTTTTCTGTTTTTCTTCTAAAATCACAGATGCCCTGGCTCCAGTGGTGACAGTCCAGTTGGGCAAAACTGTGACTTTAACATGTGATGTAAATAAGGACCACCAGAAAAGGGACTGGCTTCACTGGTACAAGCAGACTGCAGGAGATACTCTCAAATTAATTTTAATGCATAAGATGAATACAAACCCTGTTTATGGACCTGGATTTCCATCCTCAGCTTTCAACGCAACATCGGATGACAAAACGTTTAATCTGACAATCTTAGAGACTGCAAGAGAAGATGAGGGAATGTACCACTGTGCCTATAGCAACTGGTTTGAATCTACATGGAATGGGATGTATTTATTAATAGAAGGTAATGATGTAACTTAAGTAAAGCATTTTTATCCCTTAAGGCTGAAAAGGGTAAAAACTTTCTTGTATATAAATTATACAGTTGTGCTTGAAAGTTTGCATACCCTCCCATTAAAGAAAATGATTCACAAAAAACTAAAAAAAGTAATAATAAATAAAAAAAAAATACTAAATGATTATTCAGTAAAATACAATACTGATCTGAATTTACATAATTCTACAAAAACAAACTTTCCGAGAGAAATTAAACCACCTTGCTCATGAACCAACCAACCTACATGTCAACAGCAGAAATCTGACTGAACATATCCTGAAATTTACCAAAAACACCTGATTTCTGTCATTTCCTCCAAGTGTTGCTAAAGAAAAAAAAAGAAAAAAAGAAAGTAAACATTTTTTTATTAATTAATATATACAGATATATGTATATATTTTCAAAATCAATGTTATTATTTCCATTTTTAAGTTATTTTTATTTATTATTCCTTTTTTCAGGTTCAGTTTATTTTAGTTGTAGCTGATTTTTATTTCTGTCTTCAATGGAAGGGAATGTACAATTTCTAAGATAACTGTATCTTATTGGAAGATTTTTGCCACTGAACCAGATCTGTTTTTAATAGGTATTGAGATCATGAGTCAAGAGTCACACTGAGAGGGGCATATAAATGGTATAATTCAAAAAAAGTTTAGGTTAATATATTTATATATGTATATTTAATTTGCTTCCACCATTTTTTCTTTCTGACTGTTTTTATTCAGAGATTACTTAAACTTAGAAATATTATTATTAAAATAATACATATTTTCTAATGTGAAAATATTTAAATTGTGTTTTATTTGGGAATCTAATATAAATACAAATAAATAAGTTTTTTCCTTCTTTTAAATGACTGAGAGACAGAAATTAACCTAATTTCTTTTTTAACCTAACCTTGAGATACTTTTCCACATATATTAGTGAAGAGATTCTCACTTATAAAAACAAAACAAAACTCATAATTAAGATCAACATGTTTTTTCTGTGGTAAACTGCAATATTTTCATTTAATGAAATCTAAAACAAATTCAAAATAACACACTGTTTGTTTTTCTTCTTTCCTAATGATAACAACTATAATAACAGTATCATTATTCATTATAGGAAACACTGAGAGAACTTCAAGCTACCGTGTTGTTCAGCAGCCAGCTGTTCTAGATCCATCCCGTCCAGCAGACTCAGATACTCTGCAGTGTTCACTCCTTTCTCAGCCTGAGGAAAAAACCTGTTCAGGAGAACCCAGAGTGTTCTGGTTAAGAGCCAAAATGGACAAGTCTGTTCCAGATCTCATCTACACCGATGGAAAAACGCATGAAAATTGTGAGAAGCCATCAAACACTCAGAAGAGATGTAGTTATAACTTCTCTAAGAAGGTCTCCCCTTCTGATGTTGGGACTTATTACTGTGCCGTGGCCACATGTGGAGAGATATTACTTGGAGACGGAACTAGAGTTGAAAATGGTATGACTTCTTTATGAGATGTTCTTAAACAAAGCTTATTTATGATGACAGATTTTTAACAGAAACAATTGCATGTATTCCTCCTTTTCCAGCTCATTCATTGAGTGATGTTATGTTGCTGGTGATAACTGTGATCTGCTTGGCCATTTCGATGGTTTTGAATATTGTTTTAATCTGTTGCCAAACTCAAAGAACATCACCCAAAAACAAAGGTAAGTAGAGATAAACTTAAAACAAATAGATAATAAAAATAAAATGATTGAATCCAAATTCCTCTTTAGAAAGCTCCTCTTCACGACCACAATACAATGACCAAAGCCGACCAGATGATTTTGTAAGTAATCAATCAAAATTTCTTTGTTAATTAGAAATATATAAACCCCCACTATATGTAACAAAATCACTACAATTAAGTTTTTGGTTTACCGGTAAATTTTTTGTTTCCACTCAGACAGAAGATGGAGAGCATATGACCTATGCTGGCTTACATTTCTCTACAGGGACCATGAACAGGAGAGAGTTTAAGACTGAAGAAAGTGTGTATTCAAATGTCAGATTCAGTCAATCTGAATATACAACCTGATGAAGCTCTTTGTCAGATTAGATGTACCTTTTAAAAGCCGCAACCTTGATCAGACATTCATTATATTAAGTCCATCTGTGTTTAGAATTGATCTGTCTGATGTGATCATAAATATAATTTCCTCATTATTTGGAGAAATATAATTAACAAGTCTTTGTAAATATTCTACATGATTTGTTTTTCTTGGCCAATCGAATGAATAGAATTAATGTACTTTTCAATAACATTCTAATTCACTTACTGTTTCTGTGTCATTGCTCATATACAGTAGATCACCCACATTGTGATATTCTAATGTAAGGAAGCCAGATTTTAAGACAAATCTGATATGTGAATTTCCTGAACACATAGGCTAACAATGACAATAAACTATACAACTTAAATCATGAGCCACTGGTAGAGAAACGGACATTAGATTTTGGTAAGCCCTATCTATTGAATATGAAAAACTGCTTGAACCACATAAGGAGACTGTGGGAAGGTACAATTTTAACAGAGAAGGAGCTGAATTAGACACAAAGAAAAACTACAAATCAAAGGGAAAAGACTTATTCTAATCTAAGAAAAAAACTAAACTACAAAGACCGAACACAAGAAATAAATGAAAAACTAAAAAGTTGAAAATGAACAAATATGGAAGACTCTTATGACAAAATAAACAACATGGAAGTACCTGTGAATCATTCAATTTACTTACAAATGTAACTGCATAAATAAATAATCTGAAAACCCATTTAAAATTAAAAAGGCATACAGCACCCAAAAAGCATGAACTCTTTACAGCTGAAGCTACTTAATTTACAGCTATTTAATGATATTGTACAACAAGAATGAAGGTGGAGATCATAATCAAATTGAGTTGTTGACAACTCTGCTAACAACTGCAACAAGCATTACACAAATCATATTAATACTTACCAACAACTTTTACCTCAAGCCTATAATACCCTCTTTCTTGCAAGTAATCGCCATCATTGCCTTTCTGACTGATGTAACTATCAATCTAGGGTACAAAACACGTAGAAATTTAAACTGAGTGTGTAAAATTAGTGGAACAGGTGAACTTTTTTGCATGTGAATCCTCAGAGAATATGCAGATTATGTGCTTATGACCATAACACTCAACATAACAATTTAAGGTTGAGAATATGCAAATGCAATACTTTCCATGAGCAAAGAAATTTTTTACACCTGAAAATGATTGTAGCAGCAGTTTTTGCATCAACATTCATTTAAAAGTCGGGTGGCCACAACAACAGCACCAGAGTCCATTTCACAAAGCAGGTTTACTGAAAACACTAAGTTTTCTAAACAGAAAATCAGGGAAAATCTTGAGTTTTCCGTTTCAAAAAGAGAGTTTCCTCCAAAGAGAGTTTCTTCAACATCTGTTTCTGTTGCCATAGTAACAATCTGCTCAGAGCTAGCCTGGTCGGGGGCAGGATTTGATCAGTAAAATCATGTCCTTGTTGAAATGTTTTCTTCTTCTTGCATCATTATGGATCATCACACTGTCCATTATTTTACTCTTTGTTTATTCTTCATCACAGCTCCGGTAACTAGATTTAAGCAGCCAATGAAAAGGAAACATGTTTACACATTTTTTATTGTCAATGACAGGAAAAAGGAACTGCAACATGAAATAAAAAAAAGTGCCATTCACAGTAAAATCAAACTACTGTAAGCAGTTCTAATGAAGAGTTGCATAAAACATATTTGCAATAAATGTAAATCTGTAGAGCATAATCACTACTGTCCTCTGTCTCCATGCTCTTTAAAGCCAATACCTTGTTTTATTTCCAAATTTACTCTGGATATTGCTGCTGACATTTTTTACAAACAATAAAATATAATCATTAACTAGGTCAGTTAGAGACATAAGGTGCTAATTAAAGAATGAACAGTATAAATTGGCAGAGAATTTAATTTATTTATAAGGTGAGGATTTTCAGACCGCTTGAACACCCTCATTTTGTCTCTTTAAATTTAGTCCATTATCATATTCCACAACAGTCCTTTATGCCTTGTCCAACTCTTGTTCTGCCAGGAGTGCATGTTATAATCCCTTTCAAGTTTTTTTTTTTTTTTTTTTTTACCAGGATGTAAATATCAATGAATAAAGAGTTGAAAGTCATTGACTTGTACATCCACTTTCAAATAGGTCCTATAGGCAAAACGGAGAATAACTGACATTTGCTCCTGATGGCTTTTATCAAGAGTGAAATCAAGATGTACAAATAATTATTGTGCTCTCTTTGTGGCATTCATAATACAATATCTGATGTTTAAGGCGATAAGAGAAATGAACTCATTTTGGATCTCTCTCTAGACAATATTGATAAGTTCCTTTATTCTTTATGCAGCTGACATATTTGTGCATACTGGAGCCAAATTTGGCAATCGTCTCTACAAAACCCACAAAGTTACCACTGTTTTCTTAATAAGCTTTAAATTTGTTGCTCGAAATGCCAAATGATGCTCAGACAGTTACTGAGCAGCCACTAAAACAGTCGACTCAGGAATAGAGGATTCAAATGCAAGAACTGACACAGTGGAATCAAGTTCAAGGTTCTTTTAAAACACTGGGGGTCAAACACCAAAAATCCAAAGGATGCAGGAGTATCAAAAACAGAGGAAGGGAAAGGTCCAACAACAAGCAGGGTTAAAAAATTTTAAGAAAGCTGAGTTCAAATTCAAAAAAGGCTGGAACGCAAAGGGAAGCTATATGACTGAGAAATAAATAGACCAAAGGAAGGATCACAAACTCCAGGTGAATAACATTAAGGTGTGGAAGATCCTGATTGTAAGGAGGAACTCAGGAAGTGTAGTTTCCTAAAATGAATACAAAATAAAACAGGAAGTGAAAAAAACATACCGGTAGTAACACTAGTAAACCTAACTTGTCAGGACAGCCCCTGAAAAAGATGAAAGTTAAAATGAACTGCCAACATGCCTTTTCTCTGTTTATCTGTCTTTGATGTGACTCATCTAGAGCTGTGGGTTTCTATCTTATGTAACCCTTTGGGATATGATCAGGGGGCATTTCTTGATGATTAAACAGAGTACTTAAATGTATTTATTTGTTATTTCTAATATTAACTAATTTGGGTTGGCTTATACTCTTATTAAACAATTTGCAGCAAAAGCAAAATACAGAATCTGTCCTCTTTGAATAAACAAGTAAATATATACAAGCCTTTTTACAATCTGGCAACTTTATCGGCCAACTTTACCTACATAGAAGTCTTGGAAAAAAAGTGTGTTTTTACTTGATTTGCATTAATATCGAAGTGGGAGATCTTAAAGGTCCCTTTTCCTCAAGTAAATCCAGTTTTTTGGTATCCACGTGTATGGGCAAAATGCTGGGATCCTTAAGGCCAACAAGATGCACCAGTACTTTACTTTCAGGGCATTACTCTTAGCAGGACCTCCTCATACCGGTAAATATACACACCTTAGGACCAGATCACATATAACAAAATGCTTTTGACGGGTAAAGCAGCACACATCGCCAGCACTATGATGATGTCATACATCTTTATTTCATACAGATTGGACATTACAATAATCTGTCTCTACTTTGCCTGTTACAATATGAATGAATTAACATGATTTGTAACTTTTTTTTAAAAGTGGTATGAAATTATTTTAAAGGCTTATTTGGGGCTTTCCCACTGAGACCCCTATCATGACCTTGCATAGAATAGCCCTACAAAAGATGGTTGGGGTGCTATATTTTAAAATATCTTAATAAAAGTGTTCTGGGTTAATCAGGAAGATAACTTTCCAAGCTTTTAAAAATCAACACTTTTTTCACTTCATTCACATGAAAGCTCTTTTGAGGTAAAAGTTACAATCCAGAGCAGCTTGAAGAAATCTGAATTTATACACCATGTGAGAAGGTGTAGTGTTTGCTGGCTAACCTCAAAATGTTGCTCTGGAAAGTTTCTAGGTCAGTCGTCGATCTTTATGGAATATGTATTGTTAAAATGGCAAATTGTTAATTTATAGAATTGTCTAATGAATTTTCTTGAATGTAAAAAAAAAATGGACATCTTGAACCATCTCTTGGTTTCACCAATGTTTAGTAAAGCCTGGAGAAGAATAGAGTTCTCCTGGATAGTTCTCATTATGGTGTATTCTGCTACATGTTCATGATTGCAGGCTCCTACAGCCCAGGTGTGAGTGCCACAGCAATGGTGCATAATACCTATCCAAAGTGTCAGTCAGAAAAAGCATGACAAAAAAAAAATCACATGTTCTCATTTTACATTTGACTCATCCAAGATGCATATAACTACAAAAAGACAAATGGTCTGCTCTGTTTGCCCTCTTGCAGCAGCAACAGAAATAACGATCAAAATGAAAGACAATGCATTTATCCATGAGAGGAGGTCATCAATTGTTTATGCAGAAATTCTAATACTTGAGACACAATAAACACAACATGTAACTCATTCAAGCCCGTGTCAAACCTTGACCTTTGAGCCGGCGTATGCCTGACGTATGACTCTGGGTCAGTTCATGTCCACATACTGCAAGTACGTCAAGAAATTTTGAGCATTTCTTTGAGCATGCTCAAAATTTCTTGATGTATGCCAATGTATGCTCATATGTGGGTATCACAGGTAGTGTTGCGCCGATGCCTTTTTTGGCCCCGATACCAATACCCGATACCTGGCTGTGCAATATTGGCCGATACTGATACCATAATATTGTAAAATAATTGCCATCATGGCTTTGTCAAGCTGCTGCCTACCTTTGTGAAGCAGGAAAAAATCTAATACAAAGTGAATCCAGTAGAACTTTTTATTGCCTACCAAGAGTGGATGACAATAGCTGAATAAACTTATGGCTCTCAAAATGGTATTGGTGCCCTATTTGTTGGTACTCGCTGATACCGATATCACCATTTTAGGGCAGTATCAGGGCCCAGTCCAATACTGGTATCGGTATCGGTACAACACTAATCACAGGTAAGTTATTTGATTGTTGACATATGTTAAGTGTAAGTTACTGACAAGTCATGCCGTCTAGCTTATCCAAAACCGGTTAGTAACTTTTTCATAACTTATGCGTAAGTTATTAAGAACTTATCACAAATGCATATCAACGTATTTGACATGTACCAGGTGACCACTGAACGTGTTTATAAATTACTGTCACTGTATAATGCCCTATTGGCAGCATTTTGGCATGAAAGGGGTTTCACAGGAGGAAACAGTCTGTACTCCACTAGTCTTCATATCCATCATAGGCTGAGCAAGAAAGTGAGTATGATGGATCCTCCCTGCACTCAAGCCCACAGCCACGGCCAACAATCTTTCTAGCAGACATGACACTAAATCAGACAAGTCAGTTCATTTGGATTGGATTAAACTGATCTCAGATAAAAAAGTAAAAAATATTGGTGTTATTTTTGATCAGGACCTGTCATTTAAATCCCATATTCAAGAGGTTTCTAGAATTTCCTTCTTTCATCTGCAGAATATTTCCAAAATTTTAGATATCCCCTCCAACGGTGTTGCTGAGAAACTAGTCCATGCATTTTTTACTTCAAGGTTGGACTATTGTAATTCTTTACTATCAGGAAGTCCACAAACCGTAGTTAAAAGCCTTCAGCTGATGCCAAAATGCTGCAGCCAGAGATCTGATGAAAATTAAAAAGAGAGATCATATCTCTACTATCCTAGCTTCTCTCCATTGGCTTCCTGTTAAATCCAGAATAGAATTAAAAATCCTCCTTCTCACATATAAAGCCTTAAATGGCCAAGTTCCATCAAATAATTGCGATCGCAAAAAAAAAGCTCTTCTGTTTTACATCAAAACAACAAAACAAATTTTTGAAAGAGGGAGTTTTTCATATAATCAACAGTAGTGGATTAGGAAAGAAATTTGTTGTTAGGATTTTACCATTTGCCTTAGATTCAGTAAAATTAGTTTCATTCTTGTTTCTGAGATTCTCTGCATTTTATTTACATTAACAGAAAACAATTTACAGCGTGTTTACAGTGCCTGAAAAAAAAGGTGCCTGACAAAAAAGTATCAGTATTAATATTCTTGTCTCTATCAAAATATTATATTTATAAAGTATTGTGACCATTTTCTTCAAAGAGGGGAGATTAAGGGATATTTTACCTTTTTAATGGTCTCCCTGAAGGAGCTTAAAGCAACGCTTCCTATTCAGTGCAGCAGAGTTGCTGATTCAGGCACATCACCCATTTTGTATGAAGCACTGGGGAGCATCCCTACTGAGTAACGGTTTAATCCTGAGCAGTATATGCATATTTGTATTGAGTGCTGTAGGATTGGCATCTACCTTTTAAGCTGAGGAGGCCAAGTAAGGGACTAGAGTAAAAGCTACAGTTCTGCTATGGTTCATGGTATTGCAGTATGAACACTATGGCTGCTGTAAAGGAACTATCACACTCAGGGCTTACTGGGACATTGTCACTTGGAGACGAGCAGCCTGAGGCTCCAAAATGGCAAAAAAGTCCACCACTGATCTGTTTATATACTTCAGCATCCAACTCCTGGCCACTTTTAACAGTCTTCATGTAAAGGCAAACAGAAATTTGCTTAGTTTTAAATTGTAAAAATTTTACTGATAAACAAAAGAAGCAATAATGAATATGTAATCACTTAGAAGGGCAGTGTCTCCAAAAGGATGTCGAAGGAACACTGAGGTTTCTTTAGCTTATCAGCTTATTTTGTACTTATTCAGAACTTTGAAAAAAAAAAACTTACTTAACCTTAGTGAAAGCTGGAAAAGAAGCACAGAATGTAAAGGAGAAAAGTCTTTACAGCATGACAAGTTTGATTGCATGAAAATAGAGAGCTTAAAGGAAGAGATCTTAACTCTTGCCTTGTTTTGATGGAGTCAACTCTTCAGTAAAAGAGAAAAAGTACCTTTACCTGGGATTCTGTGCTTCTACTCAGATCAGAGCACAGAGGATTTTTACACATATACTCATACTGGCCTCATGGGTGTTTTACTTATTCTAGAAAGGTATTGGAGGCCCTGCAGTTTGTTTTGGAATCACAAGCTGTCTTTTATAAATGTGAATGGTATAAATGGTAAATTACCATTAACCTTTCTATAAACTTAATAAAAAAATTCTTCTTGAAGAAAGATTTCAGTAAATGATAAAAGCCAAACAAATTTTAACAAAGTTTCTCCAGGCTTGGATGGTCTGATTGGACACATGTTTTCTCTTTCAGTTATGAACTGTCCTTCTCTTTTGACAATCTCCTGCATCACTGATTATTTTTCTCTTTGTCACACATGTACTCTGACTCAACCCCCAGAGGTATAAACACATTAGAGAGTAATTTTAAAGCATCTACAATAGATAGCATTTAGAAGAGACAGTTGTTGCTATTTTATCAAAGCTTTACAGAGTTACTGTAAAGCTACTGTAAAAACAGAGTGTTCGAGAGATACATACAAAACTGGTAAGAGCAAAATTTAAACTAATAGAGAGAAATATACATATAAAATATTATTTTCCGGTGCAAAAATAAAGTTATGAACTGTTGAGAGTTTAAACCTTAACAGTTAAAAATATATTTATTTAAAGAGATTTCAAATTATAGTATTGAGTGTTTTACCAGAGTGTCTTATGAGTTACTGTTAACAATATCAAGATCCTTATCAGTGGAGAAGTGCAAAACATTGGGCAGAATTTCTTGTTTTTTGTATTTGTAATTTGTAATTTTCCAGTAACCATGGCCCTAGGTAACAAAATCATAGCTTTTTTTGTCTTCTGAATCTGAGCAAACATTACATTCTATAAGGTCCTTACTTTGAGCACTTTTGCAGCAAAAAGTGAATGAGGCAGGAAATACAGAGATTCGTCGGTGTAAAATCACCCCACTTCCTCCTGTCTTTTAAGTATCACAGTGTCTAAGAAGTTGTGTGAAGATGATTCTGTTTTGGGTCATGCTACATGTTCTTCTTCATCAAGGAAGTAAGTGTCCTTTCTTGTAACTATAACATAAATTACCATTTTTATCTTACATCCATGCTTTACATGAGGATTTCTTAGTTGTTGTATTGGTGCTGAATGCATTGAAATTTGCTATAGTTAAAAAGTCCATATCTTCCTCTTAAAGATGTTTGGTCACAGAAATATATTTCTTGAATGTCAGTAGGTCTTATTCAAATAATCTCCAGAGTTATGATGTGCATTGTTGACAGTGATATAACTTTGTGTACTAAATAAAATTACATGTTCCAAAAATATACCAGGCCATACCCAAATTAAATGGGATTTTATATTTGATCTGGTGATTGAAGACACTGGTTGAAACATAGCCTAATGCAACACTGAAAAAGTAAGTAAATTATTTGATGAACAAGTATGCAAGTGAAAAACTTAAAAAAATGTCAAACTATTAGACTGTGGAAAAAAAATATAAAGCATCAGAAATTAGTATATTTTGCCTTGAACATTATCCTCTGCGTCGCAACAAGAAGTGCTTTTTGATTGCATTTCCAAGAAAGTCAATCAGAAGCCTTTTAAATTGGTTTAAGAAACATCTCCCTTTGAACTACATGTCAAATGTCTGTGAAGACACTGTCAATGACTCTTTTATGAGCTGCACTGTGTTTCCTTCATGAAGGATGTAAGTGTTATTGGTACCAAGATTTTATATTGATTATATGTATTTGTTTGATTGTTTGTTTTACTATCATCAACTTTAATCTGTTTTTGTCACAGATGCCTTGGTTCCAGTGGTCACAGTTCATCTGGGCAAACCTGTGACTTTAACATGTCATGTAACTATGGAAAAACACAGCAATGACTGGCTTCACTGGTACAAGCAGACTGCAGGAGATACTGTTAAATTGATTGTAATGCTACGTAAGAATACAAGCCCTGTTTATGGACCTGGATTTTCATCCTCAAGTTTCAAAATACCTGACGACGAAATGGATAATCTGACAATCGTAAAGACTGTAAGAGAAGATGAGGGAATGTATCACTGTGCTGTTATCGGCTGGGTTGATTCTAAATGGAATGCAACATATTTACTTATAGAAGGTAATTGTGAAACACAATTAAAACACCTTTGCCCTTTAAGGCTGAAAAGCATAAAAAACTTTGAGTATATATACGTAAAGTATATCTTACTAGAAGGTTTTGGTCGCTGAACCTGATATGATTGTCTTAGGTAATTAGTCATGTTAAGAAGGCAGACATAAAAGTTACCCTACATAAAAGTTTAGCTTAATATGTTTAAATATGTAGACATGTCATTTGTGTCTTTCTTATTTGCATGCAGTATTTTTTTTCCTGCTAGTGTTTTTTAGATCACTGAACCTCAAAAATAAAGATTTAGTAAAATAGTTTCCAAAAAAACTAAAAGAATAAAAACATTGATTATGGGTGTTGGTATGTTTTTTTTTTTATTTTATTTTTTTTTTTTACTTGTTTTAGATTTTGTCATTCTTTCCAATAACATAATATAACCTATTTTTTTCTGTAGTTTTGAAATGCTTTCACTATTTCAGTGAGGATCTTCTTACTTTGAAAAGCTAACTTTCTTAAGAAGAGACCAAGATGCTTTTTAGTGGTAAAATGCATTAATTTAATAATTCTCAAGCCTACGGAAAGGAGACCTCTTAAATATAAATATGTTTTGAATCTTAGCAATAGCATTGTACATTCTTCGGTTTATTAATAACAACAATATTAAAGTTAACATTATTCTCTATAGGAATCACTGAGACAACTTCAAGCTACCGTGTTGTTCAGCAGCCAGCTGTTCTAGATCCATCCCGTACAGCAGACTCAGATACTCTGCAGTGTTCTCTCCTTTCTCAGCCTGAGGAAGAGAGGTGTTCAGGAGAACCCAGAGTGTTCTGGTTAAGAGCCAAAACGGATAAGTCTGTTCCAGATCTCATCTACACCGATGGAAAAACACAGTGTGAGAAGCCATCAAACACCGAGAAGAGGTGTAGTTATAACTTCTCTAGGATGGTTTCCCCTTCTGATGTTGGGACTTATTACTGTGCAGTGGCCACATGTGGAGAGATATTACTTGGAAACGGAACCACAGTTAAAATTGGTAGGTTTTCTTTGTATGATATTCTTTAAAAAAACATATATCAATAATAATGGCTTTTTAACATAAACAAATACCTTTTCTTTTGTTTTCCAGCCCATTCATTAAGCAACGTTATAGTGTTGGCGGTAACTGTGATCTGCTTGGTCATCTCTGTGGTTGTAAATATTCTATTAATCTGTTGCCGAGCTCAAAGGACATCACACAAAAAAAGAGGTAAGTACATATAAACTTTAAACAAATATGAAATGAAGAGAGAAAAAAGGACATTTTAGAATCAAAATTCCTCTTTAAATCATGTGTTTAGAAAGCTCCTTTTCACGACCACAACATAACACAAATCAACCAGATGATCTTGTGAGTAATCACACCGACTATCTTTGTTAGTTATGAATATACAAAACCCGGCTGCATATAACAAAAAGACTGAAATCAAAATCTTAATTTGAATTCTGTTTTCATTCAGACAGAAGATGGAGAGCATATGACCTATGCTGCCTTACATTTCTCTACAGGGACGGTGAACAGGAGAGAGTTGAAGACTGAAGAAAGTGTGTATTCAAATGTCAGATTCAGTCAATTTGAATATACATCCTGATGAAGCTCATTTGTCTGATTAAGTCTACCGTTAAAAAACAGCAACCTTTAACATGTTATTAAATACATATTTTATTAAGTACAAATATCTTTGATCAAAATGATTTTATTGGTCTGTCAAATAATCTGTATAATTTGTTTTGCTTAGTGAATTGACCAAATATAATAAATATCCTTTTCAACATTTTAATTTATTATTTTTTTTTTTTGTACTATTAGCTCATATATACCACCCACATTGTGATACATTCATATACATTAATCAAAATTAAGTTTTCAAACTAAAATAAATGTTTAAAATAATTGTTTTTTTCAGCACTGAACCAGAATAGATAACTTACAAAAATCTGAAATGCTACAGATACCCCACCCCAGTCTGACCAATGGTGCTACTGTGTGTATTCTACAAAATTAAGGAATATTTGTTTAAGGTCTTTCACTACATTATCAGGCTGTCAACAGTTAACATAAAACATATTTTGATTTATAGGGTGTACGTATTACTAACAGTGGAAAATTAAATAAAGGTTAATAACAGATTATAATTAAAACAAAATCCAGAAACGACACCACATTTTTGATAAACATATTGACATTCCCCTGAGAATGGATTGCTAGATCAAAGGAATTATTATATTATGGACTACTTTTCACTTATTATGCAAGTTGTTAGTTTATTTGTCTCTCTGATAACTGTAGGTGGTGATATTTATTGTCAATGTATAGCTATATATTTATTGGCAGAGATGAATCATTCTAATAAATTGTATCTGTCTTTTATTGACTGGTGTTATTAATGTGTCACCCAGGTATCATGGTTTAGGTCCTGTTCAAGTTTTATCTATGAGTTTTCATTGGTCTTATTTCCATTTTTGTGTTCTAGTTGTTTTTGATTGTATTTGAGTTCTTAGATATTTTTTGTTTGCCCTCTTGTGTCAGTCTCCTTTTCCCTAGCTACCTTCTTGCCTCTGCTCACACCTGCTCCCAATCTGCTGTTTCTCTCTCCCATACTGTATATGATCCTCCTGTGTAGTCACTTTTTGCTGGTTATCCCCTCCCCAAAATGTTATGTGCTTGATCCAAATCAAATAATGATGATACATGTTATAAGTATAATCTTTCTTTTCATTTGCATGCTGATGATGCAACCATTTGAGAATTTTCTTGAAAATAAAATTATACTTGCCAAATTGAGATGTGGAGGCTGTAATCCATGCTTATTAACACAAGATTGGATTATGTGATCTATATATAGGCAAGGACTACTTACTGTTGCCTTGCCTGCAGTTAATCTATTTCAGAATAGATTGTAAAAATCTTACTGTTTGTTCTTAAAGCTTTCAGTGGCTTAGCTACCAGTAAATGACCAAGCTTCTTCATATCTATACTCATTCAGAACTCTAGCTGCACCTGAAGCATAACTAAAACTTGAAGGTGACCAAGTTTTTGTGGCAATCCCAAGAGTCTGGTATAACATACCCTGGCAATCTGCAAAATCAGTTGAGGTTTTCAATCCCCTGTGAAAATTCATTTTTGTTTTTAGGTTTTAGACTCCTCAAAGTGGATGCTTGGCAAAACAAGTTATGCTCGGGTTATGCACATCAATGCCAACTCCAGTACCAAGTACTGTACTAGTACTGTCTCAAGTTAAAAGAAACTCTGTTAAAATGCCTCAATTCTGCCAAATTAACCGAAAGGTTTGGAGGAAACTGTTCAGCATCTAAGCTCCTCTTGATGTGTTAATCATGGGTTTTATTAAGAATGTTTTGCCTGTTTTAGAGACCTATTTTATTCAAATCATAAACACATCCCTTTTGTTGGGTGTTTTCACTTACACCTTAAAAACAGAAATTATCAGACCATTGTTGAAAAAAAGAAACTTGGACAAATTGGTGCTGCATGACTAAAGACCCATCTCAAACCTCCTCTTCATCAGACTGTTTCCAGCCTACACCCAAGCTGAGGAAGTGTTCACGCCCAATAACCCTGACTACTGTATGACCACTTGGGACAACAGTGCCTCTGTGCAGCTGCATGAATGCTTTGAAAGCACTGACTGGGACATTTTCTGCCACCAGGACCAGGAGGTTTTTGTTTCAGCAGTATTTGGCTACATCCACCACTGTGGAAACTCTGTCACACTGGACAATCACATCTGGGTGTTTACCTCACTGAATTAACCACTCCTTTGCCCACTTCACAGTTGACACACCAGACTAAACCCCTTGACAACCATGTGGAGATACAGGAGGTGAGCAGACTCGTGAGGGCATTGAACACATGCAAAGCTGCTGGATTTCATGGGGTGACTGGGAGGCAGCTGAGGCACTGCATACACCAGTTGGCAGGAAACTCCACCCCTTGTCATGCTTCGAGAAACTGGTACGGTTTCATATCAACTCACATCTCACCCCACATTCAACGCCCACCTGTTTCATACAGGGCCAACAGGTCAATGGAGGACCAACGTGGAGCAATGGGGAAGCTTGGTGAGGCTGCTCTTCCTGGACTTCAGCTCATCCTTCAACACTATAATCTGAGGGCTGGCTGGTGAGCTAATTGGGAGACCTGGGTCTCCCTTACTCAACCTGCAGTTGAGTAAGGGACTTCCTAACAGACCACTTCCAGAGATTGAGAGTAGGGCACCAACTGTCTTCTCTTCTGAGGACCAACACTGGCTCTCCACAGGACTGTGTGCAGAGCCCCCTGATCTACACCCATGACTATACACCCATCTGATTCCACCATCCCCATCCATCCATCCATCCATCCATCCATCCATCCATCCATCCATCCATCCATCCATCCATCCATCCATCCATCCATCCATCCA